TTCTTGTGGTAGAGGAAAGATAACATTCCTTTATGATTCTATTTCCTATTACTTCCTGTTGATATCATGAAAATCATAATTAAACAACATTCATGTTTTACAAAGCTCAAAGGTCAATGATATTGTAGGATGACAGTGTAGGTCATTAGTAATTTATATTTGTCCTTAAAGATCTCATCACTTTGCATTTATTTATAACCCCCAAATAAAACATGATTTTCTTCACCTCAACCAAGGGCTTATTTTTAAATTAACCTAACGTAAACTTTGGCTTTTAAGCTCACACTAAATAGCCTGATAACTTTTTTATAAGTTTCTAAAATAAGCCATTTCTTTTATGCATAGTACAAATTAAATTCCTATCAAAACTGCTTCAGAAATAAGGGAATATTTCCACCATCATATTTAATTTCTTCATATCTTGTGCTCATTAAATTCAGAAGTTAATAGCACATAAATAAAACATGGCTTTTTTCCTTCATGAATTGCACATCGAGCACATGCATCTAAAAGCTTTGAAGGAAAAAATGAGGAAAACCTTGTAAACCAAGCACACAAAAACCGAGTTGTTATTTCCTTGTATAGCAGAAGATTTGGCAAAGAGGTACGTAGAATATTTAATATCATGAAGTATCTATATCATTAAAGTAATCTAGCATAATTACCAGTGTTTTGTTCTGTTTTGACGGGACTGGCGGTTGAACTCAGGGCACTGAACTTTTGAGGCTGGTTCTCTACCACTTGAGCCCTTTGGTGTTAGGGATTTGTGAGATGAGGTATTGATGTTTGTGAAGGAGCCAGCCTCCACTGTAATCCTCCTACTGTGCTTCCCTCTCATCACTGAGATAACAGGAAAGAGGGCCATAGTGCACAGCCATTGTACTTGCCCCGTAGCTGGGCTAACAGGCATGAGTTGAAACAAAGCAGGGGTTCTCCAAATCCCTTCCTCCCACATAGCGAGAGGTGTGAGCCATCACACCCACTCATCTGACTATTTTTAACTTTTATTTTATGGTAAAGATGCTGTGCAGGGGGGTTACAGTTACATGAGTAAGGCAATGAGCACATTTCTTGTCCAGCATTGTTACCCGCTCCTTTGTTTTTCTCCTACTATCCCTTTCTTCCCCCACCACCCTCATTCCTATCCCCCTCTTGCCCCCACCAAAGTTGTAAAGTTTGTTTCCAACATGGTGTCTTGTGAGTATCATTGTTGCATCGGGTCATCCTGTGTCCTTGTTTCAGCATTTTGTTGTTCCCCTTCCCCTCCCCAAATTAGATAAATGTATATACAAGATGCAGGGTACCAAAATCAAGTACAGTGACAACAAGGGATATTCCATAGAGGGAAGAACATACAAATGAAACAAAAAATTGCATAGACATTAAAAACAACAAAGAAAAACCTCTGGTGTTCATATCCTGGAGAAATTTCACTTAGTATCATCTTGTATGGTGATTATATGTACATAATTTTTGAGCTTTTCTGCTCATTTGACAATATTATCCCAGACATATTATTGCAAATAAGGGAAATAATGGGACGTACATTTCTTTGGGTCTGGCTTGCTTCACTTAATATAATTTTTTTCCTAAGTTCTTTCCACTTCCCAACAAAATAGAATGGTGTCATTATTTCTGATGGAAGCATAGAATTCCATTATGTATGTGTGTGTGTGTGTGTGTGTGTGTGTGTGTGTATCACATTTTCTTGATACATTCATTTATTGAGGGCCATCTGGGTTGGTTCCATATCTTAGCTATGGTAAATAATGCTGCAATAAACATAGTTGTGCTTGTAGCTTTAGTATGGTCTTATTTGTGATCATTTGGGGTAAATGCCCAAAAGTGGGATTGCTGGGTCATAAGGGAGCTCTATGTGGAGTCTTTTGAGGAACCTCCATACTGCTTTCCAAAGTGGTTGAACAAGTTTACACTCCCACCAACAATGAAGTAGGGTTCTCTTCTGACCACATCCCCTCCAGCATCTGTTGTTATTAGATTTCTTTTTTTTAATTTAATTTTATTTGTGAACATGCTGTACAGAGGAGTTACAATTACATGGGCAGGATAATGCGT